ATTTTTTACGCAAAATTTAATACAAATTCTTTGACTTTTTCAATTCTTCCATTGTAAAAATCGCCGAGCTCAGAAAAACACGTCGAATCTTAGCGACTACCACAGACAAAGTAAACAGTGAATATAGCTGAAAATTTCATCATACTTTAGGGGCATGTATACCAACACAATAAAAAAAAATTTTGACAATCAGACACTCCAGACCCGCGAAATTTAATTATTAGTAATTCCAGGTACTTTTTGAACATACCTCGTATATTGATAGGGAGATGTGCTGATTAGTTTTTGGCAAACGCAGGTCCTGCCGTTACGGAGATACGGAGCAAAGAGTGCAGAAAATAAAAATCGAGTTTTTGAGAGAACGGATCATCCGATTTGAATGATCCAAAAAGCATTCAATTCGTAATGACGGGTAGAATTGGTGATTAGTTTTTGGCAAAAGCAGGTTCAGCCGTTTTGCGAGATACCGAGCAAAATATAGCAGTTTTTGAGAAAACTAAGCATCCGATTAAAATGATTCAAAAAACTTTTTGTTTGTGTTGACGAAGCTATTGCTTTTAGGAATTATTTTTTTTTTAATAAAAAATTTATAATTTAGGAAAATAAATATTTTTATATACCTTTACGTTTCAAAGGTTTTTGAACATTTTGGCATACCTTAGGAAGAATGAATGTATGTGTGTGTGTGTAATTTTGTGCGGATACAATTTTTCGTCGACGATTTCGGGAACACCGATCAACCAATTTGAATAATTAAAAAAACATTCGATTTGTTTTGATAAGGAGACGTGCTGATTAATTTTTGGCCAAGACAGGTCTAGCCGTTCCGAAGATACGGGGCAAAAAGTGCCAAAATCGGTAACTCAGTTTTTAAGAGAACAGAGCGCCCGATATTAATAATTCAAAAAACAATTTTACTTGTATTGTCAAGATGAAGCTTTGATTCAATTTTTAGGAAGGCAGATCCAGCGGATATGGACTCTCAATAAAAATAAGTTAAAAAATGTCATTTGGCGTTCAAAAATGTTTATTGGTCATATATACATCAAATTATCAGATGTTTTATAGAGATTTTAATAATGTATACACATTTTGTGTAATTTTTTCTGGGTTCTGCACCAAGATTTTTATTACGGTACGGGAAGTTCCAGCATTTTCCACTAGTAATAGGTTTTGTTTATCAGAACTAATATGTCCATGCATTTTTGTTATCTTTTTGAAATAATTATCGACGCAATATATTATGACAATGAAATCATAGTAAATATTTTGTATGCATTCTATTTATTTTATTTACAAAACATTTCCCAAACATTGAAATTTGAATAACAAACAAATGCCGCGCCTCCATCATGATTTGTGCGAAATCATTGCGCGGACGTTGGCAATAGAATTTTGTTTTCATATTGGTATGGATGTGCTAAGGAAAAGTATGGGTTGGAATTCTATCGAAGGCATTTTGATATTTGTGCAAAAATGTTCAAAATGATGTGATTCTAATCGTAATTAAGCTTTTGTTTAAAATGGTGTGATTAATTGTTATTTTGTCAGGCCTCAGGTGCGGTTGAAAATTGAGACAAAGTCGCAATATTGTCGACTCATTAAATTGGAACACAGACGTCATTGTCAAAAAGGTACGTAATAAGTAGATAATCTTTAAGAAATTATATTATAGTAGTTATTATGTATGCATTTTATAGTATTTTTACATATATTTATATATACAATTGTATAAGCTTAAACAATATTATGATTGTCATGGCATGTCAAAATCTTCTATCGGACTCAATGTTTTTCTTTTATTTTTGTTTGACATTCAAATGATTATTAAAAATTTATCTTCAAGGAATATTTGTTGGGAAGATTTGTTTCATACATTCCTTAAAAAGTTTCCCAAGAAAAGTGCTTTTGTGATATTTTCATTTGGCATATCACTAATACTAAAAAATATAGGCAAGGACGTAGTCTATTTATAGATCTTAAAATATAAAATGTTTGTTTAAAATTATAAAAAACTTTTATTAAGTTTCAAGTATCATAATTATTTTTTAAATCTTTTATCACTTATTTGTTGATAAAATATATCCTTTACAGTATGGCAGTCAAACAGCACGTTAATGAGGTGGACGAGCGCTCTGAAGTGCAGCCTGTAGATCTGGAGCAAATAATACAGACTATAAAACTTATCCGACAAAACCGAAGTCATTTGCTTGTTGGATCTAATCTTGTCAACTTATTTGAAACCATAGTACACTGCTTAGCTCATGTGCACAACCCAAGGGAAACTGGGTTATCAAGATTTCTAGAAAATGTCAATCTAGTTCGTGATTTCTTTAAAGAAACCTGTGACAATTTGCCAAATACTTTAAAAGAACAAGTTGTATCAGCTTGCCTCAAGAAGTTGTATCTTGTTTTATCAAAAGCAGGTATATATTAAGTTTCTTATATGATTACTTTCATAATTCTCATAAACCGTTTTTTGATTAGATTCTAGCGAACCATGTGCAGCAGTGTCTATAATATTAACATTAGTAGAACCGAACATTGTGCCTGGAGCTGTATCTTGGCTTTTGAGAGAAAATCCTGGGGATGATGAAACATTATTAAGAATATTACGCAGATTGTTTATGTGGCTCCGGTATTGTAATTACACACCATGTTTGACCGAGTGGACCATTACATTTATGAAGGGGTTGCAGGTATATTTGTTACTTTACAGATTGTTTTATATTAGGTAATATTTTACTTATATCTTATGTTTGTAACAGGAAGAAGGCAGATGGGATGTTATGCTTGCAGCCAGCAGTTTGGTTATAGAAAATTTATTGGCAGGGCTGGCCATGCCATTGTTTAGATCAACCATAGCACCAGTTGTTGAGCACATGCTCACAACTGTTTTGCATACGCCACTTTTGCTTCAAAAGGTACAATTTAGTTTTTATCCTTTGATGAAATTTAATATAATTGCTGTTTTAATATAATGTTGAACTTAGGTTTTGCCACGATTAATGGTAGTGTTAAATCAATTATCTCGAGAAGATTCAATTAGTGCTAATTTGACCAGGCAAAGATTGATTGATATAATAACAGCTTTATTAGAAGTATTTCCAAATGAAATTGAAGGCCATAAGGATGTTGTAAGTATTCTTCTTCAGGAATATGTTTTGGCACAATAATATAAAATTTGATTTTAGGTGAATTTTGTACATAATGTTGGCCCTTCCGCTGATTATAGAAGGGTCTTAAAATGCAATGCATCTATGAGTATTGTAAGAATGTCCACACCCGGTTCAAGCAAAGTTGGATTGAATAACTTAGGAAATACTTGTTACATGAATAGTGTTCTTCAATCATTATTTATGACCAGACAGTATGTATATTGTAAAAGTATAATAAATATGAAAAATTATTAATTGTGGTATCTTTTTTTTAGATTTTACAAGCAAGTTATCTTATCGAGTGGTGGTAAACGTGGGATTGTAATGAAGCAATTGGCTCATTTATTTGCTTTATTAAGTTACTCAAATCGTCCTTATATTTCACCCAAAGACATATTGCAGATAGCCAGACCGCCTGGGTTTACGCCAGGCCAATACCATGACAGCTCTGAATTTCTTGTGTTAGTCATTACTTAATTATCTTGAAAGTAGATGTATTGTTTTTTAATTTTTCAATTATTTACAGATATTTATTAGATACATTGCATGAGCAAGAAACACAGTTGAACAGAACTCTTGGCACAGAAGCGAAAGTAGCTAACACAGGTAAATATTTCTTTTTTCATTAATATTTTAATGTATTCTTATATACTCTAATTTCAATCAAATTAGACTAAGCCTAAATTTGTTATTACCATCATTTAATTTGTATAATTCATAGTGCATTTTATCTAATATTTTATTTAAGCAAAAAAAAATCTGAATCAGCAAAAGCAATTTACTTTAACTCTGGAAGAAAAATGTATCAAGCTATTAGTTTATAAAACACACCCAAATACCATTTTTATTTACTGTTAGAAAATTTATGATTTTTTCCTCATGATTTATATTATTGTTTCTTTTTCATGTTGATGCACTAAAGTTAATACTTGTGGCAAATTTTCACAAAAAAACATAAATAAAAGAAGATTCCGGTTGAACAACTGGCCTTATTCTAAACTAAATCACTCGAGTTCCATGAGATTTTCAAATAATAATGGTATTTTATTTTTGTTTCTTAGTTTTATTTTGACAAGTTTATTTATTTATAGTTTGTAATTAATATGATTGAGGAATAATTCTTATATATTTTGAACATTTATATACATACTTAAGTAACTGCTCTAAAAAAAGTGTTTTTTTTTATGTTTTGCAGATGATGTAAATTTTCAAAGTAATAGTGATATGTTTACTAAAAGCAAACTGCCTGGAACTTCTAAAAACAGTAATGAGTATATGGAGACTGATGATAAATTTTCTAGTGATAAAATAATTCTTAAGAGCAGTAGCAGTAACATTGAAATAGGTAAGTTATTAGTTTTATCAATTCTTATAAGCTTTTTTTTATAAATGGTTCTCTAATAGTGCTTTCAATATAGCGTAACCACAATCGTGTGCTGAATCGCTCATATCTTTAGGCAATTATTTCCATAGGTACATACAATACTTTGAAACGCCATTCATTTGTTTCAGCACTGTGGATTTTGTTTTTTTAAGCTTATGAAATAATTTAAGGCTTTTAGCTTTAGTTATACCCTTTATTAGCTCTCTCTGTTTAAACACAGTATATATCTATTATGTGTTAGGCTCGTCCATGCTCGCCATTCTCAAGAAACATTGCTGTTTTATTTAGTAAGATGGATATAAATGTATAGTCGGGTGGAAACAAGTGGGCCACGTTATTATTTTTAGTTGTAAAATGGTTAAAAATGAAAATATTTTCGTAATTTTTTCTTTATTTGCAAGGGTATTCCAAAACGCAACTTTTTATCATAGCAAATGCTTGTAATTTAGTTTGGAAGTATCTCTTTATTTGAATGGTAAAAAAAGTGTGTGGAAAATCATTATTACAACTGATGAAATTGTTCAAATTTTCCGTTTCTCATTAACATATCTTGGGAAATCTCATAACATACATATTATAACCGTTGGACTGTCTTATTGTATTTGAAGAACATTGTAGAACAATAAATCAACAATTTGAAACAGATTTTTGCAATTTGAATGTGTAGTTGTATCATCATCGTACGCCGCTAAGTTTACCGAACAATGCTAAATTCCAAAACTTGGAATTTGTGCATATATCTATCTCTTCTATTTTAAAAACACTGTGCACAATGTTTTTTTAATGCAGGTACCTATTTAATGTTGATGTATGATCAGTATTGAGTGATAAGTAGTACCCTTAACTTTGCGATTGGCACTTACAGTTCAAATTTTCTATTTCATTCAGATATGGATTCAAGCAGTTCATCAAGCCCTTATACCTCGAAACCGGACAAACCCTTATTCAACACAGACTGCAAAACAATCACTCAAACTTGCTTCAACGGAGAAATGCTGACTTGTTACGAATGCATGGCTTGCCGCTCACGAAGCAACAACCATGATACATTTAGAGACTTACAATTAGCTTTTCCGGACAACAACACGACATCTGGTGAAAAATCGTACTCGGTGCAATGGCTACTTGATTATTATCTGTCGAAGGAAAAATTACAAGGTGCGAATAAATATTCTTGTGGACAATGTAAAACGTTGTGCGATGCCGAACGGTCTATCACCATTTTGGGCGCACCACAAAATTTGATTTTGACTCTGAAGCACTTCAGGTATGATGCGGTTCAGCATGAAAGGAAGAAGTTATCTCACAAAATACATCATAATGAAAAAGTGCATTTGGTTGTTATGTCAAATAAACAGCCTGTGAAAGTTTTTTATATGTTATATGCTGCAGTGGTTCACGATGGTGTTAACATGGACAGTGGACATTATTACACTTATGCTATGGATAAACATAAACATTGGTATAAGTTTAATGATAGTGTGGTAAGCAATGCATCGTTTAAAGATTTGGACGAAATGAACCCTTACAATACTCCGTACATATTATTTTATAAAATAATTGGCACGCAAAGTATTTCGGCGCAAGAGCTAAAACAAAACGGTGTTGACAGTCCCAAGAAGTTAAGATTGGGAGAAACTATGATTTATAATGGATTGAAAAATAAGGACAAAGACATGTTCAACATGAAACATTGTTCAGAAGATTGCGATATTGACTTCGAAGATTTACCTTTGGATCTCCAGGATTTGATAAGGCGAGATAATAAGCGTTTCGAGGAGGAGAATTTGTTTAATAAATCGAGTAATACAAATACTTCACTGCTTTTTGGTAAAGACAAATCGGATTCGGATAACGAAGACGACTCTCCGAGCGGTTGCAGTGGAGGATCAGGAATTACAAGTAATGCCAATCGATATATATTTTAGTACTCGTTTTTATTAAACTTAAAATTAGTTTTCAATAATCCATTGTTATTACTTTATGAATTATATATAGTTTAATTGTCTAATGATGAAATGTAATATAGAAATTTTGTATATGGTACTTATATACAGAATCATGTTCTTTTGTTTCACTATAAATACATGCAGTATTCTTTTTATTCACTTATGTGTTAAAAACATTAATTTGTGATCTTAAGTTTTGTTGTGGCACTCAGTGTTGTATTCATTTACTTAACATTTAGTTTTAGTTAGAAATTAATGATTTCCAATCAAAGACCTGAATTTATTTTATACTTAAAACGCAAATAATTTATTATATACATATAGTATATTTATGAATAAAGTTGAATATAACATTTCATTTTGCTATGTTTAATTTAACGCAATTAATTATTGCACAGCAAATAGCATATTTACTAGTTAAGGTGGAACGGGAAATGATTTGTTTTTATTGAGTGTTCCATTCATTAAGACTATTGTGAATTCTATTTGAATTTTATGATTAAATTCTGCCTGTGTTTTATTTAAAATAAAGTATCCTAATTTTTTATTTCGTATTTGATATTTTTTTGCCGGAACTGCCAAACATTGCTAAGTTTTTCTGGCGGTTTTAATATTATTTTTATTAACTTCTCAAAGAAGTTTGTTTCCGCCAGAAAATTCTTCCCGCTTGTGTTGTTTTTTAGACGTTTCAAGTCATTCTGAATCGTTTGAGATCAGGATGGTAGATATGTCTGTCTGAGTACGTACGTAAATCAATATTTGACATTTTGGGCGTTTTTTTTTTCAAAAAAAAAAATTGGAAGAATTAAAAATGCCATAAGAAACTCAATAAGGTCTCTTTATCCACGACCATCGGCGGAACCAATTATATACAATCAGCAGATATTTTTTATACACAGCATGTTCCAAAGTCGAATACAATCAGCAGATAAATGCAACATTTTTCATCCACTTTTTACTGGACCAATTTTAATCGAAAGATACGGTTGGAAGCGCTGAATAGCGTTTAGAAAAGATCGGTCGAGTTTAAAAATAATAATTATTTTGTTTCTGATGAAACTTAGTTGAATAATGGGTTGCGCTTTTAAGATATACAAGCGCATGTTTTTGCACTTATATACTTACTGATATTATGTTTTTTTAGGGGGTTTTCACTGTGTAGAGGAAAAGGAGAATTTTAGGTCATTTTTAAATCACCATAAACAAAAGCAATGAATTTTTTTTAATAATTTAATTAACAAAAGTGCAGAAAAATTGTGATAAAAAATGTTAATAATTTCAAAAATGAGCAGTTGTTGAAATGGGGGATCACAAAAAATTGGTACATAATCGTGTCTCATTGCAACCTTCCTAGTAATCCAAAATTAAAGATTAATAATCAACAATGATGTTGCAATGGCATGTACTAGGATTCAATTAAAAAAATAATTTAACAAAAGGCTACTGTTTAAAAAAAAGACCTCTTTCTTATCTCTTTTTTGAGTTTCGTTTTTAAAAATAATGAAAATTGATATTGGGAGATGAGACTAGAATATGCTAGAGAAGTCTATAAAGAAGATTCTTTGAAAATTTCAAGTGAGTCGGCCCTGTAGAACTCGAGAAATCGTGGATATCGTATTAAGAAAGACAGTTTTAAGAAAGACAGTTTTAAGAAAGACAGTTTTAAGAAAAACACGTTTAAAGTTTTGCAAAAGTAAGGAAACAGAAGAGAATCATCAGGACAGATAGCTGTATTTTCTAAAATAATTTAAATTTTAAAAAATCCTGTTGCTCACATATTCTTCAAATTCAAGGTCTTGAATTCAAGACTTCAATAGCCAAGCTTTAAAAATTAAAAAACGTTTTTTTAGAATTTTGGCTTAGCATATCTCCTTAAACGATATGTATTGAAAATAGTATTGATTAGTTTATAGTGAAAGCAACAACTTTATTTTCGAAAATTCGATACAGTTGAAAATTTTATCTAAATAGGTAAATCTCAATTTCAATTCTCAATCTCAAGTTATAGTAATCGCAAAAAAAATCGAAATTAACATTTTGATATATCTTTACATTTCAGAGGTTTCTGAACATTTTGGCATACCTTAGAAAAAATGTATGTGTGTTTGTGCGGATACCAATTTTCGTCGACAATTTCGCAAACACGCAAACCGATTTGAATAATTCAAAAAACAGTCGATTCCTAATGATATAAAGACGCGCTGATTAGATTTTGGCAAAGGCAGGTCTAGGCGTTTCGGAGATACGGGCCAAAAAGTGCTAAAAATGGTATTTCAGTTTTTGGGATAACAGAGCGTCCGATTTAAATAATTCAAAAAATATAACTTGTAATGAATAACTGGTAAATTTTTGTGAAGGCAGGTCCAGCGTCTCCGAAAAATCAATTTTTCAAAAATGTCAAATTTTGTCTAAAATTCTCGAAAAACAATTTTTTTCAGTTTTGCAGTTTTTTTTAAATAATTTTTTTGTTTTTGATACGCGAAGTAACAGCAATTTGCCGTAAGGCACGATGCCCTGCTAGTTCAAGTCTACTATTGAACAAACCGGGAAGTTGATGCAACTTGCCTTAAGGCAAAATGCCAGTTACACCTAGTTAAATTTTTATCACTTAATCATTTTATTGTATTTATTTTACCATTGTATATTTATTTCAAACAGTTATCACAAATTTATTTACAGTCGCCATCTGCACCATCAACTTTTACTCAACAACCACTTCTCTTCAGACCACACGTGCAATTTGGTCAGTAGCAATTCATGCATCGTGCATGAAGGTTGTGTTCGTCAGTTTTCCATTTTATACGTTTTTTTTTCTTTTAATACATAAAATTAATTAAAAATATATTTTAAAGAAAAAATCATGTTTTTTGACGCAAATAATTGTACAAAAGTACAAGCAAGTGAAAATCGTACAAACTACGATGATAATGGATTTTAATTTAAAATAGACTTTACCTGGATGGATTAAAAATTTGTTTTATAGTGTCATATCAAAATACTTTTATTCCAAGCAACAGATTCTTCTGAATTTTACACTTACATTTTTTTACTTGTGGACTTATTTAAAATCATGTGTTTCCAGGTTGATTTGTGACTAAATAAGATTTTTTAAAATAAATATTAAGTGTTTTTGTTGGTGATTTTGTTCATGACGGATCTGCAACCATGTGGGATTTAAAGTTGCTGATTTTTGTTGCTTTTACAATTGCTTCATGCGGAATTGCTGCAGGTGATAAGGATATTGAGGAAAGAGGTATGTTTTCATGGATAATGTTATTCAAATTTTAAATATATATATATATATATATATATATATATATAATAATAATAATAATAATAATAATAATAAAATTTACACTTTATTTAAATCCGGTCTTCATTTTCGATGCAATCTAACAAATCAAAACTACACATAATACGACTTATCTATTTTGTAATTATCAACTTCCGAATTTTGAAACTAAACGAATTTTTATTTTTATTACCTTATTCTTCCACAAAATAGTTAAAAGTTTTTTGTTATGCTTTTTTATTTTGAGTTTTTACATATTGGTCCTCGAAGTTGGCATGATGGTGCCAAATATTGCGCAAGAATGAATTAATATAATTCACCTAATTTTATAGTTATAAATGGAAATTTAGCATCAGAACAAATAAGGTTCTATGGACTGCAATTTAACCAGAAGTTCAGCCAAAGAAATATTTGCCAAAATTTCTTAATAGTACAAAAACCAGGAATCAAACATCAAATTAAATTTTGCACAAGCTTAAAGCTGGAGCTTTGATTTAGAATTATCCCCAAGTAGGACTACTACTTTATTCATTAAATTCTCATTTTCATATAAGAATAATATAAACATATATTTTTTATTATCTTCTAAATCAACGCAATAACATAACCGTGAAAATTTAGAAAAAAGATAATTTATGGAATCAATTTTTAAATCAAATTATTCTGCCCTCCATTATCAAATATAATTTCATAAACAAGTCTTATAATTATTTATTATTCAATTTTTTAAATTTATTCTCCAACTTTTTTGCTTGTTTTTTTTTTGTTATAATTCATTTTTCTTAATCAAGAATTTAATATCTCAATTTTTCAAATATCTAGTCATTTTAAAAATAATTATAAACCCACACTAATAAATCAAAATAAATAAAACATTTTCAGTTCATCATACATTTTATATAAATTGTTACCTATTTTAAACATGATTTTTTAATCTTTCAAGATCATCAAATCTTATAGCCAATAATAATTAGAAGCTTTTTGTTAGTTATGTTTTTTTATACTTTTTTGTGGGTTTTGCATTGCTGGATGACATATTTAAATTTTTGTCAATATTTTAATCATAGCATAATTTTTGTTGCCTAAAATAATGTTTATTTATTTCATACTTATACATTTTTATACTTATATAATCTACAGAATAGTTCCAGATGGACTTTATATACAATTAGTGAAATATAAATATTGTAAAAAATTATGTATATAGAATACGAATTCGTCATGGAATATCTAAAAACGGATAATTACTAATTTATTTGAGAACAATTTATAATCTTGTTACAAAGTTTATATAAAAATGAGGTACGTAAAGATGTTTAAGTCGTTAAATTAATTCATTGTAATCAAAACTACAAGATTAGTTTTGCTTTATATATATTTTTGGGTTCTGCATCACTGGCTATTGACAGAATTTTGTTTTCTTACAAAATTTGAACAATAACATACTTTTGGTTGCCTAAAATTATGTAACTTGATTTGGCTTTCCTGTGGCTCTTAGTTCAGGACAATTAGAAGTCCAGGTTAGATACCCACCTCGAACTGTCTGATGTCAAGCAGTAGTGATTTTACTTGGAAATATAAATGGCAAATATATAAATACCAATGTGCATCCAAAAATATCTCTTCAGTTGCAATATAATAAAGGACAATCAATGGATTGCCTATTAATCATGCAATAATTCTGATTGCTGTGAAATAACAAACAAACCTCGATCATTTACC